CGAGACCCCCCATCCCCCCCCCCGAATGACCCTCGGTGCGGTGAAGAGCAGGTGCGGTCGGCCGCATACCATCTCTGTGGGCTAAATGTGTCGCATGAACTGTCTCCTTTTGGCTGGCGCCCAGGATTTGAAGGTTGGTCTTCTCAGGATGGAGCAGTTCAGACTTCATATCGTGTTCATTATCTTTCCGCAATAAAGTGCTTCAAGGAAGCTCTGGAGCTCTAATTTTGAACAAGGACCTTATGGTGGCAGTCGCTATATTGTTTCGCGCCTGCATGAGCCATGCGATTTTGCGCGTTTTCTTGAATGAAGTACCACGCAGGACAACATTGGGGCGGTATCGTCGTTTCACAATGCATCCCGCGGCGATTCAGCGCACCAGCTATGAAGCAACCTGAATAAGGTAACATTGTTAAACGCTTTTAGCTTTTTTCTTCGAACCTGTGCTGTGCCTTGAATTGGCGGAGCCTTGCAACCATACGGAATTCAGCCCCGGTGCGATGTTCGGCAAACAACGTTGCTAACTCCTCCTATCGCTCCTGTTTTCCCTTGCTGCGTGTTTGAATCGCAAAGATCAGTTGAGGTCTTTGATTTTTTGGTATTTTATCTTAAAGTTAAATCTTTCATAGGAGCCCACACCTTCCTACAATAATCACATACCTTTAAGTAATTAGACATGGTCGGTAGATATCTTTTACAGAAATTGTCGGTAACGGACATTGCTCACAGATTCGAAAAATACATGTTTAAGCGGACACCAGGTGCGAGTCAATGTTAACAGCGCATATACCAGCATATGCAATGTTTTCCTTAGAACACACGTCGCAAAATGGAATAGATTACCCACAGTTTGTCCCAACAAGGGACAAGGAATTACAGGGGATAAAATGTATTAACTTTACGCAGATGAAGGTTACATAATTATGATAAAATATTTCTTTTTAGGAGCGGTTCCCGTTTGCATATGCGGATTGACCCGCATATTTTGTTGCGGGGTGGTATTTTGGCTTTTTGCATAATTTTCACTGCCACGAGGTTCTTATCACACCGAATCTCATGGCTTTTTGGCGCAGAAAGAAAAAGTCACGATTAAATGTCTCAGAAGTTTTGTTCTTTTGCGTATAGAACATCCTTGTAAATAGGTGGCCGATTAGGTATTTTTAATTCACCGGCATACGATACATGTTCACCCCTGGATGACCTCCAGACGATGGTTATGCAAGTGATGTCCGTTAAGTAAGTTGTATTCTTTAACGAGTTTTCAGTCAAGGACCTTGCCTTTATTAACACTTTTCGGTTCTGTGGGCAAGGTCAGTGACCTGACCAAACATTTATTTAAAAAGAATTCTGTGGCGAAAATCACGTGCATAATTATTGTGAAGTGGTCACCTTAATTCACTTTAGTACTTCCATGCCGTGTTTGATATGTGAGAGCAGGAGTGACAGTGGTATCGTATGTTGGTGAATCAAAAAGACCCATTCGGCGACGTTTTAACAAGCACATTCGTGACGTAAAAACATAAAACTCCTGACACTTCATTTGTTAAACATTTTCTTTCTGCATACTACAACTAGGAGGTTCGGCGTGATGAGAACCCTTGGGCTGTTAAGCTTTTGCAACAGAACAGTGACTTTCCCTACCGCAAAATATTTGAATCGATCCATCTATTGGAGAGTCATGTAGTCTTCACCTGTGCATAGTTAGTGTGGTTATATCACCCATGATTACCTGTATTTTGCCGGGTCAAGGCGTCTTTCATGTGTGTCATTGTGTTCCATGTGCTGAGAGAAAATATTTACATGCTGGTGTGTGCGCTGTCAACACTAGCCGGTATCTGATATCCGTTTTATCTTTGTACTTTTCGAATCACATGAGCTATAACCATGGGCGAAAATGGGTTCTAAATATATTCTACGTAACGTGTAAAGCGTATGCAAGTATTGTAAGGACGTCATTTTAACTGAACTATTTACTAGACATGCCTTTCATTTCGCAAGTAATAAAATACAAATCTAGAAATCCAGTGCTAGAAATCTAGTCCCCGTGGAAGAGGTACGTAGCCGGTTGCCAGTTCTGCATAACCTTTAGACTGAGTAGCCGTGGGAGAATGCTCCAACGCGGGAGTGTGCGGTGTGTAGGATAACATCTGCTGGCGAATACACCCCCCGCCCCCCGAAAAAAGTCCTTAATTGTCCCCCACAAAGTGGCGACAAAACTAAATTAGTCTTGTGAATTCTCACAAAGACTAGGCATCGCATATCCCTGCAACGATTCTGTTAAGCTATTGCGCGATACAATGCATACCGAGCTGGAAACGCAAGGTGCCGGGAAACAGTACACTAGAAGTAATGGAATTAATAATGGAAACAAACCACTCACTGCGTCTGATTTATGCCATGCCTGCATTTACTAGTACGACGGACAATATTGTCAACACTTTTTAAGAGGTGTCGTGATTAGGGACACGGCCGTCCCCGTTTCAACTCAGCTGTTGGATGGACACCAGTTGACCTTCGAAGAGGAACCACACAGCAGAGGTCTCTGAGACACGATCCCACAAAATGATCCCACATTCTTTAGGGTGGCTGATGCTCCATCAGCTGAGATGCAGCGATCGCGCAGCTTGATGTCTGACAGCTAAGCTGTGCTTTGACTCGGCTCTTTTGCACATTTGAGTATTGCCATTGATCATTGATGGTTCCGACGAATAGTGGCGAATCATCCGAACCGTCTGCGCATATGCTTTGAGCAAACGGTTATCACAATCACTAAGCATCAGACTCACAATAATGTTAACGTAACTCGGGGAGGATCTGGCCACTACAATTTTTAGCAAAAGAGTGCCCACTGGCTCTGGGTGTGTGAAAAGAATAAGGTTGGATGGAAACATTTTCCCTAACGTTGCAATAATCGCCTGCGCCATTTTGTGCTGTGCCGCATAAACAGGGGTGTAGTTTTTTTTATTCGGTTGAAGCATATATAAAAATGACATTTTCAGTTATGGAAAAATATATAACTAGCATTAACACACATTAACCATACATTAAACATAAATTTATCTAAGTTTGTAAAAGAAAGCGGGCAAAATCCGCGGAGAAGCCCGTTTTTGCTGCTTTTCGGACGATGTTGGGGTACGCAGTTTCTTCCTGTTCAGCTCCCCGCAACGTATCTTGTATACCCACACCCTCGCACATAAGCATGTCCTAATTCGGGTTGGGAACGTCCGCAAGTCTGCTTAAATAATTTTAGTTGATTGTTACGCATTTGTTTCAGCCGTCGGGAGGCTGAAGCTCCTCCTAGGTAACCAAACTGTGTCGCCTTCGCACTATCCGCAGCTGCTCGAAGTTCGGCGTTGACCCCGAGACCGTGTGATCTAACACACGACTTTAATGATGAATAATGATGAATTATCAGCGAAGGGCGGTGTACAAGCCTCATTTTTCAACCACATTTGCTCGCTTACGGACCGAGACGACATTAGCCGCTCCGACAAACACAAACACTGCATTCCTCACACCGACACCGTTAGCTGGTGTGCTTTGCGGTCCGACGTCGTGTCTGTCTTCCGCCCGCTCGCGTCACCGTCCCGTCTCTGTGCCGTTGCTGGGAGTGTTCGCTTCTGTGACTGTCCGCTCCGCCTGCCCCGCTAAGGTCACAGGGTTACCGTGTACCGCCCGCCGGCGGCGGACGGCCACCAGCTCGGCCACGGACATCTCCTCGTCGGACCGCCGCGCCGCGAGGCTTCCCGTCGCCGCCTGTGCGGCCTCGCATGGGACTGGAGTACCTGGGACGGCCCGTCGCCCGCGCCAGCAGCCTGGGTCGCTTTGACCGGCCGGCCGCAGCCGACGCCTGGCCGCGCGGCTGGCTGGCAGACCATCACCAGACCCTGCCACGGCTCTCGGCGCTGCCACTCGGCAGTCAACGTGACACGGCCTCAGGTCACCGACCCGTACCAGGTGAGACCCTCTGGCTGGGCCCGGAGTCGGCTGATGAGGGCGTGGGCGAACAGGAGCCCCGTCCCCCTCCCAGCCCCCGAACTTCTCCCGGCCGGCGTCGCAGACTGGTCCCGAGCGGCGACGAGCCCAGGTCGGCAGCGGGCGCACCTTCCAGACGGCGCGGCGCGTCCAGTGATCCACCGTACTCAGATCATCAGCGGGTCCGCCCTGCACCTGGGGACTTCGCGTCCACGTGCCGATCGCGCGCCACTCCTGAGCGCCCCGAGTCCTGGGAGGGGAGCCCGGCCGACCCCCGCGAGTACTGCGTGTCGCCGCCCAACTGGCGGCAACGGCCGGACCGTAGCGGCACCCTACCCGCCTGGCGAGGGGCGTGGAGCCCCGCTGCAAGGGGCCAGCACGCCGGTCAGGGCCAAGACGATTCCGGCGGCGATAAACGCGTGGATCCCGCCAAGATAGTACCAGCTGGCGACGACTACCGACTCGTTTTTATCAGCTCCGACTCGTCGCGCGACTCGGAGCGTGACGTGCGGCGGGAGTGCCGCGGCTCACGCGCCGCCGCCGATTCGAGTGGCGCGGACTCGGAGCGCGGCTTCCTGGAGGAGGCCGACTGGGAGCAGTACAGACGGCACGCGGGCCGCGCGCCGCGCCGCCGGCCGCTGCCGGCGCCGGCCGGCGCACCACCCTCGACCCGCCACTGTCGGCACAAAGCCGCAGTCAAGGTCAGCGCCGGCATGGGGAGCAGGGCAGCGCCGGACGCGCTCGCGCTCGCGCGCGCGGACGCCCGCGCCTCGCTCCTTGCGGCCGGCTCGGGCCGTTGGTCGCCCCCAGGGGTGCGGTGGGAACGCGATGATCGCGGTAGACGCGGTCAGACGCCGTCTCCGAGCCTGGAGACGCAGGTGGTCGAGATGGAGTTGATCGATTTCGGTCAGGAGGCCGCGTTGCGAGAGAGAATGGGCCGCAGTGACAGGACGCGGGCGGAGGCTGGGAGATCACCGTGTGCTGTAACGCCATCGACATATACCTCGGAGAATGTCGGCGCGCGACGAGATGAAACAACCGCGACGAATGCAGTGAGCACGACCCACACATACGACACCGTTCCGCATATCGGTCCAGATCCACAGCTCGAGAGGTGCCGCAATCTAGTCCTGTCAGAAATCCGGCAACGTAGCAAAACAAAGGTCATGAATCAGGCAGAGAACGCGCGCCCCCTGGAAAGTCCCCGCATTGTCTACGACGACCATTGGGTGCGCGTCATCATCGGACAGAGCGCTGGGTTCGGCGCGGACGGGGCGGATGCGGGTCGCGACTCGCCGGGGTCGACAGCGTCGAGCGCGCTGGCCAGCGTCCGCCCGCGGCGCTCGCAAAGCTTTGCCGAGCCTGGCCGGCCGCCGGCGCGCCGGCCGCCGCAGCGCCACGCCAGCCTGAGCTGCCGTATCGCACGATGCGCATCGGCTGATAGCGGCGATAACGGCGCGCGCTGCGGCGGGCAGTGGCGTCAGGCGAGCGCCCCGGCCGGGTCCGAACAGCGCTGGATCGGCAGCGAGCCGCGGCCGGCGCCGAGCGGCGCCAGTAGTTCGGACGAGGAGAGAGGCGGGCGCGCGACCGGCCCGCGGGCACCAGCCGCGGCAAGTGGCGCCGCGCCGCCCGGCCGCCAGTGTCAGTCGGGCGGCCGCCGCGGAGGCTGCGCGCACAGCACGGCCGTGCCGCTCACCGTCCCACCACCACCGCGACGCCGCGCAGCCGGCCAGGCGCGCAGCGACGGCGGCGCCACGTCCGAGACGGCCTCAGTGTCTGACGCGGAGGAGACGGCGCCGCGGCACCGCACCAGCGACTACAGCGGTTCACTCTCAAACCTCCCCGAGGCCGGCGTCGACTCGCTCAGCTCGGACATGGAGGAGGAGAACCGCAAGAACGCGGCCGTGTCGGCGCTCGACGACGCCGGCTCGTGCCGCATTGAACAGTGCGCGCCCGAGTCCAAGGTGGACGACTCAGAGTCGGACGAGTCCACGTGTGAATACGACCTGTTGGACGCGGCCGAGCGGTACGACCGCGACCGGGCCGTCAACAGGATTCCGACTGAGAGCGAGAGCTCGGCGACGGCCGACACCACGCGCTCGGACGACTCGGACAGCTCCGACTCGGAGACGCACGTCAAGCGCACGTACGTGCTCAACGCCAGCTCGTCGGTGGAGGAAATGCTGGACAGCGGCACCGACTCGCCGCTGACGGTGGACGCCCGGGCGACGTCCCCGGCGCCGGCGCGCGTCGCCGGCTCCCGGTCGCCGGGCACGACCGGCGAGACCGGTCCTGCGGCGGCGCAGCAGGCCGATGGCGCCGAGCCGGACACGGGGCAGACGTACGCCGCTGGTGCCGAGCCGGACACGGGACAGGCCGACGCCGCTGGTGCCGGCCGAGTACAGGCAGACGCCGCTGGTGCCGGCCCAGGACAGGCGGACGCCACTGGTGCCGAGCCCGATACGGGACAGGCGGACGCCACTGGTGCCGAGCCCGACACGGGACAGGCGGACGCCGCTGGTGCCAAGCCGCACACGGGACAGGCAGACTCCGCTGGTGCCGGCCCAGGACAGGCGGATGCCGCTGGCTCGGGTGCGGCACAAGTGAATGCTGCCGATCCGGACACGAAGCATGCTGACGCTCATCAGCTCGTCACGACCTGTGCGAAAACGGTCATAGTCACTGACACGGCGGGACAGGAAAGGTCAGCTTCTGATGCGGTGAGCTCGCCGAGGCAAAGCCCTCCTAATATAGTGAAGCCGGCAGGCGTGAAGCATCTCGATGTGGTCGAGTCGGCGACAATGCTGTCTGCCAACGAGGCAGGCTGGACAGACACGAGTGCGGTGTACGTAGTGGGTTTTACGGAACTGAATTCTCCTGCAACATCCGACTCTAGGACTGAGGGCGTCATGGAAGCACCAAGTGTGGACAGTGCGAGTGCGCCAGAAACAGTGGACGCACGCGATGCGAGTGCTTCGGAATCAGTGCGGTCAGTGGAGGCGGCGAGTGGCGAGTGCGGCCCTGCTGTGTGCCTGGCCGAGGATGCAGCACAGGCAGCCGTCCCGGATGGCTCCGCGACTGAGGTAGAGCTAAACAAAGAAGCCAGTGCTCCGACAACTGGTGCGGGCCCCGACCGGGGCTGAGGCCGAGCGACACGCGGTGAGTGGCGAGCCGGTGGCCACCCCTCAGTCTTCAGAAGCAGATGTCACGGCGCACGTATACCTGTCGTCTTGCGCGGTGGCTCCCAGCTTCTCTGTTTCACATGAGCTTAGAACGGATGTAGGCGTCCGGTCGCGGTTAGCTAGTCCAGAGTCCGTCCCAGAGAAGACTCGAGTCGACGCAGAAGGCTCGGGCGTCACTACCCGAGGTGCGGCAACGGGTGCGATAGCGCTGGACGGGGCGCAGCCAAATGACATTTCGGTAATCGAGGCGGTTTCATCAAATTCGGAACATAGCGTAAACAATGTTGCCCCATTCAGAGCCGTTGGGCATCTTTCACCGTCTCAGTCAATATCCGCCGCTTCTGAAGATGAGCTGAAACCGAACGAGGGTAGTCTATCGTCATCGGCTGCTGCTCAGGCCTGGCCAAGTGAGTTGAAGCTAGCGACATCAGATTCAACAGATACGTTAAATTCTACGGTCGCATCTGAACCTCATTTAACTCAACCTGAGTTTGTTTCCGGTACTCGAGCAGACAAGGCAATCCGCGAGGCATCTACCGGAGAATTACGCCTAGATGGCGCTGGTATGGTGTACCATGATGTTTCCGAATCCGTGTCGTCAGAGGTAAAAGTGGAGACAACAAGCGCCGTTCAGACCAACAACACAGGGATCGTGCACAGTGACGACAAACTGGAACCATCGGATGTGCCCGGCTGTGAGTCGGGACCGCTCGAGCGTTCGGACGGCCCGCAGCAAGAGGCGACTCCCGAGGGTGAGGTCCCGTCAGGAAAACCGTCGGAGTGTACTGCATCGGAGACGGGTCCGAGGCCATCCCCAGAGGGGGAGCGTCTTACCGGGGATGATTTAACATGTGTGGAGCCGGCGGCAGACGACTCGGCCCCAGTTGACCCTGAATCCGCTACGCTAGGGGACAAAACCACAGCGGTTCATATCGTGCCGGCCGGTTCAAATGTCACAGGGCCTGAGGACGACACAGCGACAGGCGGTCCAACAGCAGCCTGCCATGATGCAGCGGGCACGAGGGCGAACGGCTCAAAACCAGGCAAAACCGAAGCTACTGAATCGCAGGAAAAGCCTGTCGCTGAGACTGTGGCACAACCCAATCCCCGTGGGAGAGATGGTTCGGAGGGTCACGGTTCGGGTTTAGACAGCGCTTCTTATGATAAGTCTGCAGGTGACGAACAGAGGCTAAGCGGCTCTCCTGCTGATGAAGAAGATGGGGAGTCAACTCAGCTGGATTCGGCGCAAGGCGGTACTGAAGCTGATGCGGTTAGAGACAACGCAGCAGACCGTCAGGCGCCAGCTGGTCCTGCTGCCGGCGCAGAAGAGCAGCGGTCGGCCGTTGAGGATGCAACACCAGACTGTCCAGTTGGTGAATTAGTGGAAGAGAAGCCAGCTGTTGACGATCTGACGTCACACCGGCCAGCTGCTGAGGGGGCGGGAGAGAAAGCAGTTGCTGAAGCTTCGACGCCGCATGGCCCGGCGGCTGACGCAAGGGAAGTGAAGCCAGCGGCTGAAGACCCGATGGAAAACAGTTTAGTTGCGCACGCGGTAGAGGAGAAACCGGCTGTTGACGATGCGATGCCTGGCAGTTCAGATGCAGATGCGGGGGAGAGGGAGGCCGCTGCAGAAGATCCGACGCCAAACATTCCACTTGCTGACGCCGCGGAAGAAAAACCAGCTGCTGAATCTCCGACACCGGGGTGCCCAGCTGCTAACGCAGTGGAAGAACTGACTTCAGACAGACCAGCTACTGTCACAGCTGAGGAAGAGTCAGCGGCTGAAGATCCGTCGCGTGACAGTCCAGCTTCTCACGCGGTGGAGAAGAAGCCAGACGCCGAAGACCTGGCGCCGAACGGTGCCACTGCTGACGCGGTGGACGAGAAGCCGGCTAAAGATGTGACCTCATGCGATCTAGTTGCTGATTCGGTGGAGGAGAAACCTGCTGCTGCTGCACCGCCGCCATTGGCTCTCTCTGCCGAGACACTGAAAGAGAAGCCAGACAGTGACTCGGCAATGACACTCATCAGCCCCGATGATGATAAAAAACAAGAGAACGCAGACATTGAAATGAAGGCACGGGTCAGTTTTGAAACTGATGCTGTGTTGACCGTAGATACTACTGAACAGGTGTCAGACGGTCTTGATACAGACAGGGCTGGAAATTCACCAGCTGATGACCAGACGAAATGCGCTTCCGACGCCAACATCAATGAGAATACCGCAGTTATGTGTGCGCCAAGTCCCCCTGGAGAAACGACAGAGGAGCTGGTTTTTGGCCCAATGGAAGACAGTGATCAAGCCAACAAAAAGGGTGATGAGGTGCCTCCAGCTGTCGCCCTGCCGCTTGCTACGTCTGAGCCAGATGTATCTGCACCGGAGAATGTCGTGAACCCAACAGCTGTCGGCCATGAGGCCGTCGGCCCAGCAGATGTCAGTTACGAGGCAGTCAGCCTGACAGCTGTCAGCTCCGAGGTCGTCAACCCGACAGCTGTCAGCTCCGAGGTCGTCAGCCCAACAGCTGTCAGCTCCGAGGTCGTCAGCCCAACAGCTGTCGGCCATGAGGCCGTCAGCCCAGCAGATGTCAGTTGCGAGGCAGTCAGCCCAACAGCTGTCAGCTCCGAGGTCTTCAGCCCAACAGCCATCAGCTCCGAGGTCGTCAACCCAACAGCTGTCGGCCATGAGGTCGCCAGCCCAGCAGGTGCGAGTTGCGAGGCAGTTAGCCCAACAGCTGTCAGCTCCGAGGTCGTCAGTCCAACAGCCGTCAGCTCCGAGGCCGTCAGCCCGTCAACTGACGGTTCCGAGGCAGTCAGCCCAACGGATGTCAGCTGCGAGACAGGCAGCCTAACAGCTGCCAGCCCCGAGGCCATCAGCCCATTAGCTGTCAGCTCCGAAGCCGTCAGCCCAACAGCCGTCAGCTCTGAGGCCACCAGCCCAACAGCTGTCAGCTGCGAGGCCGTCAGCCCAACAGCTGTCAGCTCTGAAGTTACCAGTCCAACAGCTGTCAGTTCGGAGGTTATCAGCAGCTGTCAGCAGCTTTCATCGGCAGCTGCCAGTTCTGAGGCCGTCAACGCAGCAACTGTCGGCTCTGAGACTGTCAGCCCAGCAGTTGCCAGCTCCGAGACCGCCAGCTTAACAGCTATCAGTTCTGAGCCGGTCAGCCCAGCGGCCATCAGCGCTGATGTTGTAAGCCCAACAGCTGTCAGCTCCGAGACCGTCAGCCCAGCAACTGTCAGCCCGGAGACCGCCAGCACGGAAGATGTCAAGCCTGAGGCTGTCAGCCCACCGGCTGTCAGCTGTGAGGCGGGCAGCGCAGCAACCATTACCACAGTTGCCAGCCCTTCAGGGGAACCTTCCCCAACTGATGTGCTCACTCCGGTGGGCGCTGATGACGGCGACGCGGCGTCACTTCGCCTGACGCCTACCACAGCGCCAGTGGATAGCGTCGCTGTTGCCCCAGCTCAAGCTGCGGGCCCGGTCGATGCTGGTAGTGAAAAGCCGACGACCGATGTGTCGATGCTGGCGGGCCCTCACACCTGTGAGGTCAGAGAAGAGACCGTCGGTGTCGGTGCTGCATCTGTCAGTCCTGATGCCAAAGCCGAGGGCAGGACTGCCGAGCGGTCCGACCCGGAGGCCAGTCAGCCCACTTCAGCGGAAGAAAGTCTCGCCACGGGCGCGCCGACGCTGGAAGTCTCCCAACTAAACGCCTCGGGCGAAGCCCCAGAGGCGGGCGAGCCACCACCAGTCCGCTCGGAGTCCGGCAGCACTGGCCCAGTCTGCTCGGAGTCCGGCAGCACTGGCGAAGCCTCGAAGACTGTCAGCCTGACAGCCGTCATCGAGACGACGGACGGAGCTGACGGGCACCTTGGAGTGGACGACTCGGGCACTGTGGCTGTCGGCCGGACAGCCGTCATCGAGGCGACGGAAGGGGCTGACGGGCACCTTGGAGTGGTCGACTCGGGCACTGTGGTCCGGACAGGCAGTACCTCAGGGGACCGTCTCGTGGCAGACGCTGCTGGGGAAGCGCGAGAGAAGAATTATCCCACACTAGGCGACCTTAGTGCTGATGAAGCTCGAGAAAATACGCGGTCGGAAACGGTGCAATTGACCGCCGAGGCGGCTGTGAAGGATGGGCAGGCATCGGCTAAAACGTATGCGTCAGTCCTCAGCTCTGGCCTGGGCCCGGCGAGCTCGACTGCGTCAGTCCCCAGCTCTGGTGTGGACTCGGCGAGCTCGACGCCCACCGTTTCGCAGGCCGCTGAAGTTGAGGAAAACCCTTTGTCTGGCATTTTATCATCGTCGAACAGCGGACCTGACAGTGAGGAAGGTGAGCCTGTGATGAAGCCCGATGCGACATCAGTCGGCAGCGGCATCCGTAGCGCTGCGACCAAGGTGACGGACATCTCGACGGTGGCCGAGAAAGCTGCCGGCCTGGACGAGGAGAGACACACTGAGGCCGTCGCTGTACCGGTCGCCGGTGGGACAGAAGTCGCCGAGCGGGAGGGGGTGGATACTGATCCCATTCCAGTCAGGTCCGGCGTTCACGGCTCTGACTCCGGGGAGGCTGCTGCGTGTCAGCGTTCGATAACAGAAATTCCGGAAGCTGCCTCATCCGATCAGCAACTCGAGGTTGGATGTCCATCATCGACAGACGTTTCTGCTGGTACATGCAAACCAAACCCGACGGCTGAAGGCTCCCAGGCAGGTGATCCTGACCTTAACGAAGCCGCCCGGCAGCTCAGGGCTGGCGGCGTAATGCCCGCGGCTTTGGACAGCAGCGCACCCCAGGAAAAGATGTCAGGCAGTGACTCAACGGACCCCGGAGAGGCCGCCAAAACCGAGGAAAAGGATGGAGACGGCGACCCGCCAGCCGCCAGTCCCAGTACCGCTGCCAACGAGGAAAAGTCGGCGATGGACGAGTGCAGAGGCATGCCACCTGGCGCTGACCCCGGTGAGAACACACCCACAACCGGCCACGTGACGTCGGACAAGCCGGAAGGGGACTCGGCTGACCCAGAAACCGTCACGGTCGACCACAGGCCGGCCAGCTCAGCGGTGCCGCCAGCCGGGCCGTCCGTGGACCCGATCGACGCCGTGTCCGTCGGCCCTATGTCTGCGGCTGTAGGCTCGCCGGATCCAGTCGACCCGGCGCGCGATAGTCAGGTGACAGTTTGTCGAAACAGCGTGGATAACGCGGCGTCAGTCTGTCCAGAGGCCACTGATACCCCGGCGTCAGTCTGTCCAGAGGCCACTGACACCCCGGCGTCGGTCTGTCCAGAGGCCACTGATACCCCGGCGTCAGTCTGTCCAGAGGCCACTGATACCCCGGCGTCAGACTGTCCAGAGGCCACTGATACCCCGGCGTCAGTCTGTCCAGAGGCCACTGATACCCCGGCGTCAGACTGTCCAGAGGCCACTGATACCCCGGCGTCAGTCTGTCCAGAGGTCACTGATACCCCGGCGTCAGTCCATCCAGACGTTACGGACACCCCAGAGTCAGTCCGTACAGAGGTCACTGATACCCCGGCGCCAGTCTGTCCAGATACCACTGATACCCCGGCGTCAGTCTGTCCAGAGGCCACTGATACCCCGGCGTCAGTCTGTCCAGAGGCCACTGATACCCCGGCGTCAGTCTGTCCAGAGGCCACTGATACCCCGGTATCAGTCCATCCAGAGGTCACTGACACCCCGGCGTCAGCCCATCCAGACGTTACGGACACCCCAGAGTCAGTCCGTACAGAGGTCACTGATACCCCGGCGCCAGTCTGCCCAGACGCCACTGACACCCAGGCGTCAGTCTGCCCAGACATCACCGACACCCCGACGTCAGTCCATTCAGGCGTCACGGATACCCCGGTGTCAGTCTGCCCAGACATCAGCGACACCCCAGCGTCAGTCTGTCCAGACGTCACGGACACCCCGGCATCAGTGTGTCCAGACATCAATGGTGCCCCAGCGTCAGTCATTCCAGACGTCACAGACACCCCGGCATCAGTGTGTCCAGACGTTACGGGCACACCAGCGTCAGCCTGTCCAGACGTCAGCGACACCCCCAGCGTCAGCCTGTCCAGACGTCAGCGACACCCCAGCGTCAGTCTGTCCAGACGTCACCAACACACTGGCATCAGTCTGTCCAGACGTCAGCGATACCCCAGCGTCAGTCTGTCCAGACGTCACGGACACCACGGCGTCAGTCTGTCCAGACGTCAGGGACACCCCAACGACAGTCTGTCCAGACGTTGTGGACACCCCGGCGTCAGTCTGTTCCGACGTCAGCGACAGCCCAGCGTCAGTCTGTCCAGACGTCACCAACACTCCGGCGTCAGTCTTCCCAGACGTCACGGACACGCCTGCGCTGGACGCCACGGAATCACCGGCGTCCGTCGGACCGGAACTTGACGCAGCAGCGCCACGCCAGAAGCCGGCAGCGTGCGTCCGGGCTGACCCGGCCGGGACCGTCCCGTCCACCGACGGCCGGGGGCCGGCCGACTCAGAACGCCGCCCAGCTGATACGGTGGCCGGCCGCGCCGCTGACGAAACGGCGGCGCCCGTCGCGCCAGCCGCCGCCATGGTCACGCAAACCGGTCCTGGTCAGGGCCCTGCCGCACCTGAGTCATTAGCCCTTAGCCCTGAAGCCTGTAAAAATCCGCACAATGGGCCGGCCGGCTCAGCTGCGGCGGCGGACGGCATGGCCGGCGGCGGGCCAGCAGCCGCCGGCGCGCGGGGGTTGAGCGGCCGCGACTGCAGGGGTGAGCAGCCCGCCGCGCTGACGGCCGGTGACACCCCTGCCGCCAGGTGCGGCGAGCGGCGCGCCGCGTCCCCGCGCCCGGCCGCCGCAGAAACGGACCGCTCGATTGTATTGACTGCCGACGGCGGCGCGGCCGCCGCGAAACCGCAGATGGGCGGCGGAGCGGGCGCGGCTCCGCGCGACGCCAGTGGGCCCAGCAGCGGCGGCGCGCGCGCCGGCGAGGCCAGCGCCCCGGGCGAAAGTGAGCGGCCGCGGGCGGAGCCGGACGAGGGCGGGCCAGCGGCGCGCGGCTTTGTCAGCGTGGTGGCCGTGGGCGCGGCCGGCAGCACGGTGGTGCACACGGCCGCTGGCAGCGGCGGCGACGACAGGCCTCCCGTCACCGTCACTAACGTGACGGGTGTCGAGCGCGCCGCGCGCGGCAACGTGGCTACCGTGGAGGTGACCGACTCGCCGGCGGGCGCGCAGCCCGAGGGCGCGCCGGCCGCGCGGCGCGTCCCCCCTGAGGAGGTGGAGGTGGTGACGGACGAGAAGACCAACTCGGTGCTGGTGACGGGAGAGGTGCGGCCGGCGCCGGACGAGCTGCGCAGTCTCATAGCGCGCTCGCGCCAGGCGCGCGACGAGTTCGTGCAGATGACGGTGGGCCGTGGCATCTCGCCAGAGCCGGCGTCGCGCCTCGCCGACTACTTCGCCGGCCTGGACGCACCGGCGCCGACGCCCGGGCGGCGCGGACCGCGAACCCCTGAGGTGCGGCGCCGCCAGCGCTCGCCGGACGGCGCTGAGCGGCGCGTCAGCACCGACGGCGAGATGCCAGACGACTTCGACGACGGCTTCGACTTCGGCGGCGGCGACGACGACGAGTACGGCTACGACCACTTCGACTCGGACGAGCGCTACTCGATGGAGGAGCAGGAGTCGTTCAGCGACGCGTCGCAGGAGGAGGCGTACACGGAGGAGGAGATGCGGGGACTGAGCCGGCCACTGGACTTCACACTAACCACCATCATCGAGGAGAGCTGCGAGGAGAGCGACGTCGATGAGCGCGCCGCCAAGGAACGCACACCCACCGCTGACCCGTCATCGGAGCTCGAGAAGTACTTCTTCTTCGACCTGGGCAACGGGCCGTACGAGCCGCGCAAGGTCGGCAACGAGGAGAGCGAGTGCAACGACTCGTTCAGCAGCGACGCGTCAGCCTCGGTGTACAGCGAGCTGTTGGACACGGAGGACGCCGACGGTGACCCGGTGGAGCAGGCCGCGGCGCGCTACTTCAACAAGGGCTTCCTGGGCCTGGGTCTGGTGCGGCAGCCGTCGATTCGCTCTGCTGGCGAAGACTCTGAGGTCCAGACGGACGGCAGCGGTAGCGTCGGCAGCGACTCCGAGGGTCAGCCATCTCCCGAGCAGCGGCGCAAAAAGGTCACGCGCTCCCGCTACCGGGCGCAGTCGGGTGACGTCAGCGGCAGCGGCGGCGACGTGTCGGCGCGCGAGGTGTCCGACAAGAGCGACGGTACGTCCAGTGACGAGGACAACCCGCCCGATCCGACCGCCGACGAGACGGCCTTCGAGAAGACGGACGGCCAGTTCGACACGATTAAACGGCGCAAGAAGAAGAAGCTGCTGGCGTCCGGCGGCGACCACTCGGACCGCGAGACGGCCCTGGAGAAGGTGGCTCGCGCGATGGAGGAGCCGGCGGCGCTGGCCGTGGCGCGAGCGCCGGAGCCGCTGGCCGCGCCGGACGCTGGCCGTGATGCCAGTCTCCACCAGCTGGACAAGACGGGCGAGGCGCGCCAGAGCCGCGACAGCGGCTTCCTAGGCAGCTCGGACGACCTGCTGAAGGAGGCGGTAATCAAGGAGACGGAGGAGCGGCCAGAGGAGGCGGCCAATCGCGTGACGCCCGACTCATCGGACAGTGAGGGCACGGCGCGCAAGACCAGCTCGGTCTCCGGCTCGCAGCGGTCCGCCTCCGGTGAGGAAGGCGCCGCCGGCGGCAGGAGGTCGACTACACCGTCAGCCAAGGCCAGAGACGCCGCCGGCCAGGCGGCCAGTTCGCCGGGCGCCAAAACGCGCAACAAGGTAATCCGCAAGGACTCGTTCAACAACTGGAGTTCGGACGAGGAGACCAACATCCTGATGGGCCGTCTGCGACAGTTCTTCCGCACGACCATCTTCAGCGCGCCGCGCACGGACGTGCACGGTCCGCAGGCGAAGCCGGCCCAGCTGCTTTCGTTCGAGAGCGAGCTCACGCGCATGATGAAGAGCGTGCCTGGCATCAACGAGGCGCAGGTGCGCGAGATTGTTGAATACCTGAGCAGCGAGGACACGTGGAGCGACTCGTACGACAGCTCCGACTACACGAGCAGTGACCTGGAGGGCGCGTACGCCGCCTTCAACCCGGCGCAGCCCGACTTCATGACGCAGATCCAGAAGCAGATCTCGCAGAGCTGCCAGCAGATCATCCAGAAGTACGACGGCTCGGACGCGCCGCCGCCGCCGCCCGTCCAGCCGCCCGCGCCGGCGGCCGCCGCGCCGGCCGAGCCCAACGACGCTGTGGCCGTGTACGAACGGTTGATGGGCAGCTTGCGCGGCCTGTCGCAGCCGACGCAGCCGCCGCCGCCTGTGCCCGCCTCGCCTCCCATGCTCACTAAGGTGATGCAGCACGTAGGCGACCGGCTGGTGGCGCTGATGCACGAGGTGTCAAGCGGCGGCGACTCGACGTCACTCAGTGACCACTCGCCCAACCTGAGCGTGCGGCTGCCGCGCGCGCGCGACTTCTTCACCGAGTCGTACACGTCGAGCCCGAAGCACGGCCGGAGCCGGACGGCGGCGGCCGAGGCGGCCGTCTCGAGTCCGGACCTGACGCCGGGCCACTCGCCGCACGTGCCGCGCTCCGGCTACCTGCGGCTGATGACGGCGCCGCCGGCCGCCTCCGACGACAACATTCTGGCCTCGCTGGAGACGGCCTCCTCGCCGACCGGGCCGCGCAAGTCGGTCGGCAGCACCGGCTCCATCGACTTCAACAAGATCCTGCGCGACAGCAAGCGCAAGAAGAAGAAGGAGTTTGACTCGTGCCACAACCTGGTGGAGAAGAAGGACGCGGAGGAGGGCGAGCCGACGCTCGGGCGCACCGAGGACAAGTGGACGCGCCTGAGCGGCCGCGTGAAGTCGGAGGGTGACGTGAGCGTCAAGTCGTGCGGCAGCGGCAGCACGCTGACGATCGGTCGACCGCGCAGCTCCGAGTTCTCCTCGTCCGAGCAGGTGGACTCGGACTCGACACTGCGCGCCGCCGACAGCTACGAGAAGCACATCGGCCAGCGCAACACGCCGCGCTGGTTCAGCAGCCGCTCCAGCCTCGGCAGCAAGAACTCGCTCAACACGTCGCTGAGCAGTGAGACGATCACGGCGCGGCCCGAGGCGTCCGACAGCGAGCCGGAGGACCGCCGGCCGCGCCGCTTTCTCTTCAACTACAAGCGTCGCAGCAGCGTGCCGGACACGAGCCCGCTGCCGGGCGAGCCGGCGCCGGCGGCCGACGTGCGCTCGACGACGCTGCCGCGCTCCACGGCCGTGGGCGGAAGCACGGGCGCGCTGCCGGTGCCGAGCGCGGCAGGCTCGCTCTCGCTGCCGCGCGGCCGCGTCACGCCGCCGCACAAGGCGGTGCACCTGGGCGTGTCGAGTCTGGCGGCTGACGCGGCCCGCTCGGCCCGCTACCGGCCGCCGGGCTTCCGGGCCGCCGGGCCCACCTCGCGGCGCGCCCTGCTCGGCGCCCGACGCTCCTCGTGGTCCCACAAAGGTCAGTCCCGGCGTCCGCGCCCTCGCTCGCTTTGTGTCGCCTGTTGTGTGTGTGTGGGTGGGTGTATGTCTGTGTGAGTGTGGGTGTATGTACCGTGACGAAGCAGGGGAGGGGCGCTTGGCTGCGGCTGCGGACGGGATGTTTGTGAAGCGGGCGTTGCACGTGCCGTTTGCTGATGTCGATGTGCGGGACAGTTGGTAAGATTGAAGCGGTGGCGTCCACTATACGCTACGTCTTACGGCGCTGCAATCTGCCGCTGGCTCACATGACTGGGCCTCTCACTGTCTCTGCATAAGTGGTAGTTACCACATTCAGAAGGCTGCGCAGCTCATCACACCAGCGCTACGCAACGGCTGTCGGAAGACATTCGACTGACATCTTGATTTCCTAAGTAGCGCCCGTCGTACGGCGGGCTCATGCCGTTTGTTAGTACGGTTCCATTCAATTATCTGGCCACTCATTGGAATGCGGGACACAGGCGCGCAAGAAAGTGTGACGTTCATTCAATTGTCTTCGTTACTTATGCAAGTTCCAACGATTCTTGACTGGGGAAGCGTTTCTGGCGTGCTCATTGTTTCCATTCGGGTCCGCTCGACGATTGAGTGTATCCATTTCACGAGGCACAGGTCACTAGGTCGGCTCCACTCGCCTTACAGTTCCGCTCGTCGATCTGTGGCGGCGAGTGCCGGTCGCATTAGGGCATGTGATGTGATTGGGCATTATTTGTGACGCTGGGCCGCATCGTACACGTTTGCGATCACCGTAGCGACTTGAGGCCTGGCGCCATCCGCCTCTTCTCTGTGGGACATCTCTTCCGCCTGCGCTCGTGTTGCCTTGGGTGCAACTGCGCGTTTAAGTAGAAACACATGCGCGTAGATAGCACGCACGTGCGCGCGCACGCCCGCGCACACCCTCTCTGGTACGGACACGTCGCTGTTGGGCCGATTCCCAGCGCGATATTGCTATAACGCCAGTCGCTGCAATGCCGCCATGGTTTTATCACTGAGGTGAGAACTCATTATACACTCGGCACTTTTGTGTCGTTTCTACATACCTACCCGTGCAAGGCTGGTGTGAACGCCTGCTGGCTTCCGCCTCGATAAGAGCACGGACCGCGAACGCCGCGGTGAGAAGCCCGGCAGGAAGCGTGGTGAGGTTCACGGCCGGGAAGCGGACTGCACGAGCCTGGCAGCGGGCTCGCTCTCACGCCTCCGCACGACACGCCTGGGGTGTGCCGAGCCACGACACGCGCGCCGTACTCACGCCAGCGCGGCGGCACCGGTGCTGCCTGACTTTCCTCGTGTCTCGGCACTCCGTCCATGGTGTTTTGATCTGATGTGATCTGATCGGGGTGTTGCTGATGTTGGGCTAAATACGGGATGTTTTTATCTCGTAGCACCGTAAAATTTACGCATTTTGGAGGAAATACGAATACTTGTTCGGTGTTTTTAGTGGCTTTTGATCCCTCATCCGGATTTGCGTTTTTCATGATACGAACACAAAGGGGGCGGATGCAACCCACCTGCTGTTTCAAACAAAGCAATTATCTTAGTGTAGCAAAAAATAACAAGGGGTGGCCTCGGTGAGATCTCGCGATTGGTAATGTGTTTTATGCTGCCAGGCGGGGATGACGTAACCGGGAAGTGGTGGGATGAAGGGGACGGAATAAGCAGTTGTCCCCATGCGCACCGACACGGGTAAAAGTATGCTTTTGCACCTCTAAATTTTGGGGCGCCCCTTTGCCCAAGTTGAGCGTTTTGTAGCCATACTTAGCCTACGAAATTCACATCAAGGAAGCCCATAAACAAGCTGGGGTACCAAATCCGTCTCAAAAGACCCCTTGCTGCATAAAGGGACACATGTTCTGGATACAAATGCCCACATTTGTGTTAAGGAGGCTCATTTTCTCGCTTGGAAGGCCCCCGTTAGGAACCAGAATTGTGGACATTTATTCGCGCGGACATTGATACTTATACTGCAACTGGGGGCGTACCGCCCCCCCCCCCCCACACACACCCCTGATACGACACTGCCCATGAGGTCTCCCGTGACATTCACATTCGTGTTTGCCTCTCGGACCATATCACAATAGCCTTTCTCTACAGGTCGTATGATATAGTGGGTTGCCTCACAGGCGCAGAGGCTGGTGCTCGTGTTGAAGTCGTGCGCGTCCGTTTCCTGTGACGTCAGCGCGGTGTGTTTTTCTTTGTAGCGCATCACAGCTGGATGCGCGACAGACTGCCATCCCTTACCACGACCCGTCCAATCCTTGCGCAAGCTGTGGTAAGAACGTCTTCCTCACGGGGTGTGGCTCTCGCCGCGGCCGCTCTGGCCCTTTCTCTCCAGCTGGCACGGCTCGATCTGGGGCGAACTGTCGGTCGGTCAACAGGGTTATCGCTCCCACTCGCGCCAGCCGCTCCTGAACGGCCCGGCCGCGGCCCGATTGACCCTCTGTCAGGAGCCGGCCCCATTGACCCTCTGTCAGGGGCCGGCCCCATTGACCCTCTGCCAGGGGCCGGCCCGATTGATCCTCTGTCAGGGGCCGGCCCGATTGACCCTCTGTCAGGGGCCGGCCAGATTGACCCTCTGTCAGGGGCCGGCCAGATTGACCCTCTGCCGGGGGCCGGCCCGATTGACCCTCTGTCAGGGGCCGGCCCCATTGACCCTCTGCCAGGGGCCGGCCCCATTGACGCTCTGTCAGGGGCCGGCCCCATTAACCCTCCGTCTACGGGGGAGGGGCCTCAGAGACCGTTGCTTTTTCAGGATAGGTATCTGAACGGTCTCGAGCGCAGGGCTGAAAGTTTGAGCGACTGAGTTTGCGTCATTGTTACGAGTGTTAAAAATTCAAGTTTCTCGCCTTGCTTAGTCATGATCACCTTGATTGGTCATGGTCTTTGACCTCTTTCTCGAAGGCATTCATGCAATATTTGGCTCGGAAGTGACAATCAGGTGACGCATATTCTTTGCTGGATATTTAGTTTAAGGATATGTTTTAGACTATTGCTCTCAACGTTATCAATCTCACGTGCATTTTTATCTCTCTGCTTACTTTTGCAGGTTCAGGCCATTCAAATCTTTGAATTTCAAGCTTTGTATGTCCAGCTTTGACATTTGTGAAAGTATTTGAGCTCTTGAATATCTTACTATTTGAACCATAATGACGCATTCATTCTTGCTTTCATTAACAACATTACATTCATAACACTCTTGCTTGCGTAAGTGTGTATTTTTTAGTTTTGATGTAGCTAGACTGGCAAGTTCAACAATAGCCATCAACCCCTAAACTCGGCTTGACATACTACACCCCCAACAGATCCCATCTGTTGATTTTCAATAGCGCCTTATCCGATAATTTTCCTAGAGCTATTCATCTCCGTTTTCTTCCATTGTCGCAGCACACTTAATTCGTGAGATAACAGGAGGGTTAATAAACAGCTGCTCTGGGCTGGGATGACCTGTCAAAGGTCACGTTCACCGCTGCTCACCCAGACATACGCCTGTGTTTTTCAACGCTGTTTTTACGCGTCTCTGGCTCGCTTAATTTTCGATACATTTCGCCCTCCACGCTTGTGGGGCGGAGGTAAAAGCCTGCGTAAGGAGCGGGGAACGGCCTGGCCGTGCTGGAGAGCCCTCCCGGATCCCAGATGCATCGCTGATGAGCACACACGTACGTGTCATCCATAGCCACACCAGTGCTGGCAGACCTGACGCGCTAAGTCAGTTCGTCTGTCAGTCAGTAAGTACTTCTGACACGTGACCGCTGGAGGGGTCCGGCAACCCCACCCCTCGCAGATGTCCGGCGGGTCGGATGTCGCGTGATCGTCCGCCCACAGAGCAGCGGGCAGCGGCTCGTCCCGCTCCCGCCCTCCCGAACAGCCAGCCCGCTCAGCTGGCTCTCGTGATGACGGCTGGTCCCGGCTCGCCCAGCGCTTCTCACGGCCTGGTGGGAGATCATTGATCACTATCAGTGCGCCGAGAGCTTAGTGGTCTTCGCTGTTGGTATTTCGAGAGCTTACATGTCCTCGCTGCTCATGAGATCCCAGAAGGTTACGTGCGTCTCATTTCTATCCCGAGAACTTGACGTCCCCCCATAACTATCCAATGGCTCGGCATCCTGCCTTTTCAGCACCCCCGATACTCTGTTTGGAGGGAGCAGTGCTCTTCGCTCCATGTTCAGCAGCTCAGTGTTCCTCACTTTATTTTACAAAATGGTCAGCGTTCCCCGCTTCTTGTCATGGATGGCCTATCCCAGTGCTCCTCTCCTTCTGTTCAGAGACTTCAGCGCCCATCAGTCCTCACCGTCTGTCCCAAGATGCGCTCCTGATCCCCACTCCCAGTGGTCCCCACCGTTTGCGCCGTGACTTCGTATTCCTCACCATCTGTCCTGAAATCTCGTTGCTCCCACCGTCCGCTCCAAGACCTCGGTGCTTCTCACCCCCTGCATCGAGACTACAGCACTCTGTTTGTCATCGTCTGCCTCAATAGTTCGGCATCCCCCGCCGTCTGCCCGGAGGCCCGACTCTCCCTGCCTCAGACCCCGGCAGCCGGGCGGACGGCCGGCGCCCGTTGCCGCCTGCGGCCCTGTGCCGGACCGGCACTGCCCCTCCCCTACCCCGTGCGCCCGTATCGGCCTGGCCGGGCGGCCGCGGCCGCCATGCCAGACGCTGCAGACCGGTGGCGTCACGTGAGCACGCCGCGTGTCGGCCGGTCGGGCGGCGCCGACGTCACGTGACGGCGGGGTCAGGTGTGGCGCTGCAGTGCACGCGGCCGTACGCCGGGTATGGGACCGTGCTGACTGACACCGGACGCCTCCAGTGCCTCAAAGGTCACAGCTTCCCCACGTGTAGCGATCGTATGTGCTGGGCCGGGGCCGACATGGCCAGGGGAAGTTTGCGG